CCACCTTTAAGGGAGGAGGTGGAGGGAAGAGATGGGAAGCAGAGAGAGGAGGGGAGAAAGACAGGGGGAACGTACCGAGAAAGAGAAACAAACAAAAGTGGGGTTAGTAGTGGTTACGGATTAGTGTGCGAAGCTCGCCTGGAAGGGCGCTGGTGAAAACCCCTGAGAGCATGGAGGGTCAGGCTGCCCCACAGAAAGCGCAGGGCCCCCCCAGAGTGAGGAGGGCTGAGCAGAGACGGATATGAGCCCAGCTGGCTGCAGGCTGGGGGTCTCCCTGCTGCCTCTGGGATGTGCTGGGCACCTCCTGCCCGGCGGCGGGGTTTCATCGGCACGGCGCAGGTCGCAGAGGCTCAGCCAGCCTGTGGTTATCCTGATCAGCCCCTCCTGCCCCTGGGAAAGGCAATCTGCCTCAGCTCCACCGCAGACACTTCGTCTGCCAGGCTGGATGTATGCAGCCATTTGGCCTGCAGAGGCCAGGAAGGAGAGTGGGGTTTGACCCATAGTGGTCAGCCCCGTCACCCCTTCCCTGGCCACATCTGCACGGTGCAGTACAGACCTTGGGAAGGAGCAGCAGGAGGCAAGGCAGCTGCTTCCCAGAGCAGGAGACAGTCAGCACCTGTAACTGCTGCCTCCTGTCCCAGGCACTGCAGCCAGGACTCCCTTTGGTGGACTGAGGGAGCCTGGGCACAGGGGTTGTGCATCGTGGGCCCTGGCAGGCACAGCTTGTCGTCCCAGAGCATCCCTCATAGAGGTAAGTGGTCTAGTAGGTGATGGGTTAGAGGTTTTTGGGGAATGAGGGCTGGGAGAAATGGAGGAGATACAGTGGTGGGGGCAGAGGGCATCTCCTGGCTGAAGTTATTAGGTCTGAGCAGTCACCAAGAGAAAGGCACAGCGGTGTTACGCAGCATTAGTTAGGGTACGGGTGAGGGAGAGGAGGGGGCAGAGGAGGAGGAGGAGAAATTGCCAGTTCCAACTCCCCAGAGGAAGATCCCCCATTCAGTGGACAACCTGGCCCACTCCGGTTGAATGGCTCATCTCTTCCCGCCCCGTGCCCTGCCATAACGGCACATGGACACCCATGGTCAGGGCGTTGGAACCGTCTGTGCTCAGTAACCTCCTCCAGCTTCACCCCGCCACCTCTTCCCTCTAATTCCCCCGTCAGTGAGGGGCACTAAGGTAGCAAGGATGGGGAGTTAGGGAACAGGGTGTTGTATTCTTCCTGAAAAGTAATGTCTCTGAGTCTCCGGAAAGCCAGAAAGGTGAGGAAGCCCTGTGAGGAGAGAGGTGCGTGGGGAGGAGAATCAGTATGGAAAAGCAAATCAGAGCATTTAATTGAAATAAAAATCCCAAGGAACTGGCGGAAAAGGACTTGCGCATGGAGACTGGCACTATCCTGTCACTTCAGACAAAAATCACTCAGGCTCGGTGCTTTCAGAGGAGGGAGAAAATTGTGGACGCTATTTATAGGGCACACCACGGTTTTTCCAGGGAACTAGGAATCAGGAACTGAGGAAAGGGCAGTCTTAAGAGGCTGCACCATCACCTTCCTCAGAGGCAACCCAGTGAGGTGGAGCTGCATTGGTGGGTGCAGAGGGAGAGCCCAGAGCCCATCAGCCTCTTCTGGTGACATTGCACGTGATGGGACAACGTAGGGAGGGAGAAGGGTGCAACCCCCGGCCTGGAGCTCCCGCCTCTGCTCAGCGTCTATGAGGTGAAAACGCTGTTCAACCCCTCTGACGCAGAGGGAGAGGGAGAATGGGGTGCTGGCTCCTCCGAGCTCATATCAGAGATTTGTCAAGGACACTCCTGACTGGGATACAGGACCGTCTTTCCCATCAGGCTTATTAGTGCTCTAGCACCTTCTTCCACAAAAGTTTGGGGTCCTTATTTCCTGAATTTACCTCCTAACTACCTCCCCTCCTGCTTTTCCTTCTCAGAAGCCATGTGAACGGGGATCTCAGAGGGAATCACTCTTAGCCAGTCACCTGCCATTCCTCACAAGCTAACACACCGCAGAGGACACTTCATCCAACACCACGGCTGCTTTACTCACCCAGGTAAAGATGGAGAAGAACGAGAACGTGATGGCTGCTCGGGCTGCATCCCCTCCCTCATTCAATGGGTTGTCCTCCTCTTTTGAAGCTTGCCACTGGTTGGTCAGAAAGCAGAAGCCAACGAACCACAGGAACGCCCAAAAGGCTGAGACGGACCACCACCAGCATGCCAGAGGGGAAGGGGGGGGAGATGAAGAAGGTATGTGTGAATAGAACATGAACACATCGCGTTTCCCTGGAAAACAACCCTACGAGACCCACCAGGGTGCTGCAAACTGGGCCAGCCTTTGACTGCGCAGCCTGTCCGAGCCCAGGCTCGCTGGCAGGCTCGCCTGCTGCAGAACTGTCGAGGTGACATTACGTGTCTGCAGAAAGTACCTCAGGAGAGCTTATTTGCTTGGGTTTGGATTGATGGCAGGACTTGCTTCTGGCCTTGGGAGGGAGCCTGAAGGGCTTCCAGTACAGGAGCCATCACCTGGGCTCTCTGAAACAGCCACTGCTTTTCAGCCCCGTCCTGCAAGGACAAGCGAGGAACAATTCCTTCCAAGGGAGCTGCAGAAGAGCGGGAAGCAGCCGGCCTGCAGTTGCACAGAGACCGGCCTTGGCTCAGGAACGCACAGGCTATGGGATTCACACTGAGGAAAGGTGTGGAGGGTCATTAACATGCTGCATGCCTGGGAAAGGGGTGAAGGCAGAAGAGAGCCCTGAGTCCAGCCTGGCAGCTGGTGGGGAGGAGTGGGACTCACCCTCTCTGCCAGGCGCAGCCAGATACCTGGCAGCGAGGGAAATGGGCATTCCTATGTGTCAGCAAAACGGGGCTCAGTCCTGTCCCTTCTCGTTAGCTGTACATGGCACTGCCAGTGCGTACACCAGGCTAACTGTGAACAAACTTGCAAGCCAGAAGTCCCAAACAAGCACCCAATCCTGCTCTTGCTCCACTCGTGGCCCCCTTGACAAGCTGTAAGAGGACCCTGACGTGGAGAAGTTTGCATGTATGGCCTGAGTAAGCCCAAGAGAGACTTGGGATCCCAGCACGAGAGCAAAGCACCTCCTCACGCTGCTGCTGACTGGCTTCACACCCCCCCCACTGCTCTGTCTGTCCCTTCAATACACGACTGGGGATGGAGAGACCTGACTGCGTTAGAACAAGCTGGATGAGGTCCTGCACAGCTATTCACGTCAGGCATGCCAGGTAACCTAGAGGACTGGATTAGTCAGCCTGCCTCAAGCTCAATGTTTTTTTTTATGTTAAAGGATATGGGGTTCAATCACCTGGAGCTGGAAAAGAAGGAAGTACCATCTCCAGAGGCATCAACACTTGGCCCTAGCCAAGCATGCAGGGGGGCGATATCTGCTGAGCCTAAAGGGCTCCCTAAGCGGCGCCCACAGAGAATAGCAGGGAGGCATCAGCCAGACTGGCTGAGACGGAGAGAAAGGGAAAGGAAAGCAGGGAGACAGAAGGCCTGAGAGAGTAAGGAGCCCAAAGACCTCCCTGCTAGCAGGGACCTGGCCTGCAGGGTGGCAGAAGCTCCCTCCCTCTCCCTTGCCGGCAGAGGAGACAGGCACTATGGCCAACCGGCCAGGAAGCTCACCCGAGACGCCGATGTCTGACAGCACTGCCTTCTTGCGGTCCTTGACGCTGCTGATCTGCGGGAAGTAGGCATCCAGAGCCAGGTAAAGAAGGCAGCTGAGGAAGGCGAGGACGCCCACGGTAATGCCATAGTTGCAGGCATTGCGATTACGGTTGAAAATGCAGTGCTCCTGGGTCTCGTCCAGGCGGTTCACGTACCCTTCGTTGACAATGGAGCCGAACACCACGATGGAGAACACCTGGCGGGGAGGGAGACAGGAGACACGTCAGGGCAAGCCCCATCTCTCTGGGCCAGCACAAAGGAAAGGAGCTGTGCAAAGGACAGACACCTCCACAGGCACCTCTCCGCTCTGCTGAGCTCCCATCGCGCTGCCTTGCCTGGGCTGTGGCCACGAGGAATTTACTGGGGAGATGGCCTCGTGTTATTTCGGAGGATTGACTTAAAACAGGACACTTCTAGGCTGAGCCTTTTTATCCATCTGATCTAAAGGCAGTCGCAGCCTGGAGTAAGGGTGGTTTCCCACAGACACACAGGGAGGCGACACGGAGGGTAAACTGGGATACGGTTTTGGTGCGGATGCCTGTGTACAAGGGCTCCAAGTAGTGGAAATCCTCTTAGTCTGCACTTACTCTCCCACCCACTCCTTTCCCTTCTAGGAATTCATTGTCTCCACCACGCATTTGTTCATTAATTTTATCTATCCAGCTACTATGCTCTTTTCCCCATCCACCCTCACACAATCCACAGCCCTGCTTGCTCTGCAGCTCTGTTCTGCTGGGCTCCCGCTCTCCCCGTCTCCCCACATGTCCCACACCTCTCTCCTCCAGTCTTCCATCATACCACCTATCCTTCTGCCCACTCACCCGTTCACCAACACTCCCCAGCCTTCCCCACGGATTTCACAGGCCGAACATCGCCCCTGGCAGGGCCACCGTGAGTCCTCCCTACCCGTCACCACCACTGCCTGTTATTTTAAATCAGGTAGAATTAAGGATGAGCCCAGGTAGAAACGCCATAATCCGCGGTTGTCGATCTAATCTTCGCTCACGGGCTTATCCTTCGCCGCCTGCCGCAAGGCCGTCCCTCTTTGACACAGCAGGTTCACCAAAGCAGGGAGCTATTTACAGCAGCCCCAGACCTGCATCTCGAATCAACGCCTCCCCCTCGCAACCACGGGACAAAGAGGGGAAGATTAAGGCAAAAAAGGGCTGGATGCCTGAGATCCACAGCACAGAGCTCTGACGTTCGACCTGTGGCATCAAGAACCAGAGGAAAATCCTTATCCACGGTCCCCAACAGCCCTTGAGCAGATACTCAGCACCGACCACGTCTGCCAACCTCTATCAAGTATCCACTGACACCCATACTATTTTTTCACCCCAAGGCTCATAACTGGGTCACACTTGGGTTGCTGACATTTGGCATATTTTTGGCACACTAGAGCAAACTAAGAAAGTTGGAAGCTGGCTCTCCTGAGCATGGGGACTGTATAGGTTCTCGGAAAGTTCACAGGAGCTTTTGATGCTTGGAAGTAAAACAATTGATTTGTCCTCCTTTCTCCTCCTTAAAAACAGAGATTGAAGAAATTACTCTGAAGAAATTACCTGTGAAAAACAAAATTAAATAAAAATCTCTTTTGCCTGAAGCAAAGGTTTGGTCTTCAAAATTTCGGCCTGTGTGGTTGGGAAACGCAGAGAAGTTGCACACAATTACAGCCGAGCTCCCTCAGCGGGAAGTCTCGCATCCCTTCTCAACAGGCCGGGCTGACAGGACAGGTCTGCCTGGGGCCGTCGCAGTAACACCGTGTTCCTCTAACCTGACGGGGAGCTGACAGACTCCTGAGGTGACAGCCCAGTGTGAGGTCCAGTGCCGATGCTGCCACCTGAAGTACCAGCCTCCGTATACTGGGAATACAAAGTGGGTCCCTTGTTTTCCACAGCAGTGGACAGAAAGCGCTTTTCTTTGGAATGTGAGAAACAGCCTCAAAAGTGGCATAGCCTGGCATCCAGTTTTGGTTTAGGGCTCAAAACTGGTAAAAATGTTGATTCCCTGAGCCAGGTCAACCCTTGCAACAAGCTGTATTGCATGTCTCTGCCTACTCATTTGGGATGAATGAACTTCTGTACTGGCCTCTCCCCAGAGACACCTCTGTTTACTCTGCTCGTATCCTGATACACTTCTTCCCTCTGCTCTTATCTTTGGGTTTGCTGCTGGCCTGGAAGAGCTCTCCCCTGTGAGCAAAAGCAGTGGAGCAGTTCAATTTTGCATTCATCTTTCATACCTTTCCATGCTGGCACGTCGTAAAGACACAGCTCAGAGTCATGAGACCAGAGGGATATTTCCCTCTCCCTAGTTTTCAAGCAGAGGTGGCATTCCTAACTTCCTTTCTACATGTCCAGTCAGCCAAGATGTCACAACTTCTCTCCGATGAACAGAAACCTGGTTTGCAGCCTGGAGGTGCCAAAGCTACGACTTACTGGCAAGCATCTGATTTAAGGTGATCTTAGTTTTTCTGGGTATTCTCACTCGTGAGCAGAACAAATCACTGCTTATCTTCTGTGTCCTGGAACAGCCACCCCAACGTGCTCTCTGTCCTTAGGAAAGCTTTCTACGGACTGAAGCACAGTAGCTTAAGGGATGTCTCCTTCTCTCCATGTTTTCCTCACCGCTGGCATCGGCTCTGGCCCATGCTCCGCTCCCCGGCGCTGCAGGGAGAGCAAAGTCAGTGGTGCGGAGATGGCTCTCTCCCTTCACCAGCCTACCACCACCCCCGCGGCGCAGCAGAACGCTGTGAGGATCGGGAAGCCTTGAGCTGGAGCGAGTAACACCGGCTGGGCAAGAACGGGCAGGCTCAAACCGGAGGTTTCAGGCAGAGCTGGTCAGCAGGAGAGGCCCCCGCTGCCGCTGCTGACAGGCAGCGTCGCCTGCTCCATCCCCGTGATGGCAGTACCCAGATACTGCTGAGACGGGTGCACAGACAAACAATTTTCCAGAAAAAAATGGTAATTTCCCTCAGGGGAAACGGCTGCACGCTCAATCCACGGCAGCTCTTTCTTGCTGGCAATGGGGGGATGGGTGGAAGCTCACTGATGTCGCAAGTCACCTTAGAAAGGGCGAGTATCTTTTATTTCCTTGATTTCACAGTCCGTGCCCGTGCAAAGATGATCCAGGCAGCAGGTGCTGTGTGAATGTCTGCCTGGGTTATAAACAAAGCATGGAGCCTGCATGAATGAAGTATTTACATTCCCACTCCCATCACCTCTGAAGAAATGCCAGCTACCGGCAGTGCTGGCGCAAGCCTCTCGCCCCTCCGCGTTCCCGCTGCTTCTTCCTTCGACCCCCGTTTGGCACAGCGACCCCTCGCTGCACCGCCTTGCCTACAGCCACCAATAAAACGGTCCAAAACACACGTCCAGCTGCAAAGAGGAGGAGAAGATGGCGGCAGTCTCCCGTCCGAGCACCCAGACGCCGGGAAGTGACTTGTCCGGAGGCTGACAGGAGGCGGGCGCAAAGCACTGCACCCCCACGCTCCCGAACGCAGCCCATCCTCCCGCTGCGCAGAGGGAGATCCGGAGCTGCTTTCCTACGCCTGGCGAGGAAAACCAGCCAGCCACCCCCAGCCTTGTGCACCTGAGCGGCCCCGTTTCTCCAGCGAGGCTGTTTGAGTCGCGTAACAGGACCTGAAGTACCCAGATTTTTAGGCTGAGAGGGTTTCTTTTAGCCTCCAAGAGCAATGCCTATCGGGCACTTCACCGTGCCTTAAACATGGCATCAACACAGGCTGCTGCCATGATCTTCCCAGACTTCTGCTTTCATCAAAGGGCTCCGAGACACCAAGGGAAGCCCAGAGCCGGCGCTTTGCAGAGCTGATGGAGACAGAGCAACTTGCTGCCAGACCCAGCAACATTAACTTAAGGCGAAGCGCTGGGGGAAGGAGATGGGGAGAGGCTGAGTTTTCCTCTCCCGGTTTCTCAAGGGGCTCGTGCCCGCTAGTACAGGTGTGTAAGGGCTAGCTACAGTGACAAAAGTGCAGAACAGGCAAAAAGCCAGCATCTGACTGTAAAAGACCTGGTTTTTTTCCCTTCTCACTGAGCTGGGGGATCCAATTTTGCCAGGAGCAGAGGTGAGAGATGAATCCCTGAGAGGTCCCTCCCCACGGCAGGCTCAGCCCCGCAGAAAGCCAGACGAAACCTGCTGAGCATCATGTGAGGCTTTCCACCACGCTGCCCATCCCCAGCCTGCATCAGACGCTCCTGAGCATCATGTGATGGATGCGCAGCACGGCCGGCCTCCGGCGGCGCACCAGGATTTTCCTGCGGCTCTTCCCAGGCGTTTGTTACGCTGCCGCCTGACTTCATCCCCGAGATGCCCACCATGGTCGCAGCGGGGGTGAGGCTGAAGAGGGTTTCTGTTGAGCCGCCTGCTCGGGCTCGCCGCGGTGCCCTCCGGTCACGGGCTCTGTCGCACCGCGTGCTGCCTCTCCCGCTCCCACACCCCCTTCTTATTCTATTATAGAGAGGAAATAGTTGGTGACATAATATTCCTCGTGGGACTTCAAATCAAATCCACCTCGGGCAAAATGAAGCAATAACCTCTTCTGTGCCTGATCTGGTAACGACCAGGAAGAAATCTGTTTTAAAAGAAAGCGAGGGCCGGGGAGAGTGCAAACGGTAAACTGGCAGAGATGATCTGGCTTTCATTTTCATACAGCCACTCGCTAATGGCGTCTCTGGAAAGCCGTGGAGAACCTTGTGCAGACAGAGATTATTATTGTTATTACCATTAAATCTACTTGTATTTAGTTCATTTTGAAGAAAACATATGCAGCTTTTGATAACGCATGGGGCTGACAGCTTGGAAACAGGCGGCCTCTATTTATTCCCTCCAGCCGGCACCACGCAGGCAGCAAACAACTCTGCCCACGGTCTGGACGGCGTGTCTGAGCCCTGTGCGGGTGCTGGAGGGGGGCAGCCCCCCCCACCCAATTGTACCCCATTCCCCTGAGCAGAGGACAGGGGAAGAGCACGGGTACGCCAGCACCTCCCTCCCAGCTCACCCTCCCTGGCTGGCAGCCACATGGCACCAGCTCCCCAGCCCAGGCTGAGCCGGAGCAGGTGATGGTGGGAAGAAAGGCTCCACATCCCTAATTCCTGTCACGGGATCTGGGACAGGCTTTCCCGGCCAGCCTGCTTTTGGGCAGCCGGCAGGCTGGCCATTAACCCTTCCACCTCCTGCCAG